AGGCCCGGGTTAGGATCCCAGGCGTGCACCCACGCACCGCTTCTCCAGCCATGCTGGGGCCACGTCCCACATACAGCAACTAGAAGGATGTGCAGCTATGACATACAACTGTCTACTGGGGCTTTGGGGAAAAAAAGGAGGAGGATTGGCCATGGATGTTAGCTCAGAGCCGGTCTTCCTCAGCAAAAAGAGGAGGATTAGCACGGATGTTAGCTCAGGGCTGATCTCCCTCACAAAAAAAAATAAAATAAAAATAAAAATTATTAAAAAAAAGTATCATTTTAACCATTTACAAGTGTGTAGTTCAGTGGTATTAAGTACATCCCATTGTTGTGCAACCGATTTTTATTTTTAATATTTCATATTCTCTTCCCCCTCTCCTCCCCCTGCCAATCTCAGGAAAAACTGTGCCTTTGATCTTACTCTACTTTATTGATTCTCTTCCTTGTATGACAAACTACAGAGAAACAAAAGCTGATATTGAAAGTTTGTTGAAGAGTTATTGTAAAGGAGATAACTAAATTCTTAGGATTTGTAGCAAAAAACTTTACAGAACAAACCATTTTATGATAGCAGTTATTATATTTCCATTTAGTTGAACATATAATTTTTCATTTTTATAATTCTAAACATTTTATAGGAACAGTAATAATTTACTGCATCCATAGCCTGTGTAGGAAATTTAAGAAGTTCAGGTTAATCAAGCTTATTATAAGAAAGTAGGTTCCCAGAACAAGTCTTAATCGTATTAAAATTTGTCAGAAATTGCTTAAGTATTTTATCAACAAAGCTAATTTCTTCTCAGAAAGAGATAGAGAATTGTGTCATACAAAAAGATTCTGCCCTCAACCACATTTTAAAAAATTGTATTTTATAGTAGCTAACACTTGACTATCATGGGAGAGATTCTTGTGCTTCTTAGTAAAGCAACAAGACAGAAATTTAAATTATTAATGACATACTAAGATGGAATAGATTAAAATTAAGCAAGACCTTCATCTACCCAGCATTGCTTTATATTTTGTGCCTCAACAATCATTGGTTTGTTAATGTTTTCCAGCCTTCTCATCTTCCTCATCTGAAATGGTAATGACCAGTCTAGCATTTATTTCATAAGACTTTTTATGAAATATGGTTAAAATTAAACTTCTATAACTAAGCCCACTGAAACATCAAGGCCCATTATTTCTGATTTCCACATTACCTTAGTAAGGCCTTGATTAAACTCTCTTGCTAAAGTCTTCATTCTCCCCACTATTTGCCAGGAAAAGGGAGAGAAATGGATTTCTTTACCCAGTTATATCTTTATATTTTCAATATGGGCCAACTTGTTTAACATGCTCTTCCTCCTGTATTCCCAAATTCTATTAATAGTACAATTATCTTTCTGGTTATCCAAACAAAACACCTCCATCAGCCACCTGACTCCCTTTTCTGTGTCCTCCCTCCCTCCTAATATTACTTTTATAAATTGTCGTATGGTCCCATTTCTCTCCAGTCCATTTCCCACATTGGATCAGAATTAACTTTTCGTTGTTCCATTGTGATAACTTCCTAATCAATCTTTCTGTCTCCAGGATCCTTTCATCCAATCCACCCTACACATTGCTTCCAGTTTTATCTTCCTAAAGTACAAATGGTTTCTGTACAGCTCAAAATTTTTAGTGGCCTCTATTACCTAACAACTAAAGTTTACAATCTTTCACCTGCTTTTCATGGTTTGTCCTCAACCAACCTTACCTCCTACTTTCCCCTCACCATGAGGACAGCCGGGAGGAGTAACTTTGCCATCCTTTTGAACACACACTTCAGATGGGACCTTTACAACTGTTTTTAAGACAATATGTTGATGCAGTGGTAGTTAAAAGACGCTAATGAAAAACGGTACAGGAAGCAGTATAAAAGCAAGACCAAGAGACACATAAAGGTGTTTAACAAGTATTCCTTTTTTCCCAGATTTTTTTGGGGTAAGTTACATGCAATAAACTCCACCCATTTTAAGTGTACAGTTTAATGAATTTTGGTAATTGTATACCATTAGTAACCACTACCACAATCCAGATGTAGAACAGTTCCATCACCCTAAAACGGTTCCTCATGCCCTTTTGCAGTCGATCCTTTCTCCCACTCCCAACCCCAGGCAACCTCTGGTCTGGTTTTCATCACTCTGATTTTGCCTCTACTAGGGTTTCCTGTAAGTGGAATAATTTAATACATAGTCTTTTGTGTTTGACTTCTCTTAGTTGCCTTCTTTTCACTTTGAGTTTTACCTATGTTATTGTATGTATTGTTATTTTGTTCTTTTTTATTGTTGAGTAGTACTCTATAATACAGGTATACAATTTTTTTAATCTATTCACCAGTTGACGTTTGGGTCATTTCAGTTTGGGGCTAACATGAATAATGCACCTATGAACATTTGTACACAAGTCCTTGTGTGGACAGATGTTTTCACTTCTCTTGGGTAAATACTTAGGAATGGCAATGATGGGATATATAGTAAATGAGCATATCATACATTTACCCCAGCCATGGGTGGGAGCACAGTTAGCTGGAGATGTCCAGAGCCCCAGGCATACCAAAAGCTGAATATAAACCCAAATTCTGAGTATCTTCATGATTCAAGAGCCCTAAGCCAACAGTAAAACAAGACCTAGTTTGGGGCCTGTGCACCCTGTAGTGTCCAGTTGAGGCAAAGCCTCCCATAGGGAAGCCCATAACCCAGCCCCCACAGAGGAAATCTTCCATAAAAGATATTTCCCTGTGGAAGATGAGCTCACAGACCAGATATATAAAACATATGAGAATGTCCAGTTCCATAAAAATAGCCTGAATAATTAAAACCAAAAAAACCCTCCACAACATCCAGTAGAGCAATCTTAAAGGTATTTAAAAATAATTATGCATTTAATTGTGTGTTTAAGTAATTAACACAGAGATATTAATTGTTGTGCTTTTCTTTTCTGTACTTACTTGTACAAGACTCCTCCTCTGTCAGTCAGAGGCCTCCATACTACCCTGAGAAGAACTAGGATATGATAGCAGAAATGCAAAGACAGAAGCAATATTTGCTTTTGGGCAGTTTTTTCTTCTAAAAGAAATTATTGAGAATCAAGAAGGAATACCTGAGAGTAACATGGTATATAGGCTCTAGAAAGAGAATGGAAGATATGCTGCTCACCTTATGCCTAACCTCAGGGAGATTACACAAGGATCACCTGGACTATTTGGTGAACAGAGAGGTAGAAATGGACTGCAGCCCTGAAAAAAAGCTGGAGGCTTGGATATGAGAGGACCTGACTTGGGAAGGTTACAGGAAGATGTCAAGGGTTGTCTGTGGCCAGAGCTGAGCCAAAGTCTTAAGATGACTTGTGGCCTCTTGAGTGAGCACCATGTCATGCACATTTGCTATTCTTCTCAATACATGAGTGAAGCCATTCCACGGAGAGCTATCTGCAAAGCACCCCTTAGATTATCCAGTAAGATATCTGCCTATCTCCAAGAATTTGTCAAGTACCTGCCAAACATTATAAAGGATGAAACACCTCTCTATGTAATAAAATAGAATTATCTCCAAAATATATTGTTAGGGGTAAAGTAAAGTGTCTAAAAGTTTATGTTGTAGGCTACCATTTGCACCATTTATAAGAGAAAAGTGTGTGTACATGTATATGTATGTATGTGTGTAGTTAATTATCTATTTGTATGTGTAAAGACTATCTCTGAAGGGTACAAGAAGCTGGGGATAGTAGCTGCCTCTGGAGAGTAGAAGGGTGGCTGAGGAATAGAGTGAGTGAAGAATTACTTCTATTGTAAACTCTTTTGTTCCTTTTGAACATTTTTATCATGTGTATGTGTTACATATTCCAAAAATTGAATAAAATAATACAAATAAATATTCACACAAAACAGCAATTTTCCTCTAGATAATTTGCCTGTAGAAGCCCTCACACATGTACAAAAGGAAAACAATGCAATATTGTTTATAAGGGTGAAAAACTAGAAACAACAAAATCTTCATCACTAGCGGAATAAGTATGTAAAATATGGAATCGCATATAGCAGTGAGATAGAATAGATAGATGATAGATAGATAGATGGATAGATAGACAGACAGACAGACAGATCTATCAAAGAATAGCAGTTAAAGGACATGAACTAAACTGATCTGTGTACCAACATGGAATGACTCAAAAACATGTTGAGTAGAAAAAAAACCTAATATAGAATATGTGTTTAACATACAATTTAAGTAGATTTTTAAAAACACACTGAGTAAGAGTATAAAAAGGGACTAGAAGGATACCAAACTCTCAACGTAGTTTATCTCTGCGGAGGGCAAGGTTGGGGGTGGGGGGCTGTAATATTTTATTTCTTAAAAACAACTACAAAAAAAAAGATAGGAAACAAATATGACAAAATGCTAAAAATTTTGATTCTGGGTGATAGGAACACGTATAGGCATTTGTTGTTTTATTCTTTGTTTTTTTCTGTATTTTAAACAGTTCTAGAAGTATAAATAAAAGTAAAATACAAATTTCCAGCCAAAGTTCTCCAGATAGATCCTTTTACTTTCTTTATAAAGCCAAGTAAATTCTAAAAAATCAGCCTTGACATTATTAATAAATATCCTTTAAAAAAATTAAGTTTTGTGTTAGAGGTTTTACAACATTGGGAAACTCTGGGTGTGGCTTCAGATTTCCTACTTCAGACGCAACAGGGTAGAACCATTGTCAAAGAGAATGCAGGAAAGTTTGAATCCTGTTAACAGCATGACTCCTTGTGTACCCCCATTTATTCATCCCAAGCTCCTCATTCTTCCAAAGCCCTATTAGCACATTCTGTTGAGGAAGCAAGAAAACTTGCCTCAAGTCATATTCATTTTCCTTGTGCCTTTTTGCTTTTTGTGGAAAATAAAACATTCTGTAGGCGGAGCTTATGAGCAACACCCTCTTTAAAAACCGGAGTCTCAACTCTTGCCTGACCATTTCTGTTCCAGCATCCTGCCCAGCAAAGAAGCAATTAGGCAAAATGATGCCTGGAGGCTTAACTGAAGCCAGACCTGCCACTCCAGATATCCAGGAGATTGCTAATGAGGTGAGTTGATTTATCTCATGAAAAGGTTTAATTCAAAATCTTGGTTCCTAGGTTGGCCCCATGTTAGGTGTGGTGGGTGAACATGAAAACCAGAACGTTGGGAAATGTGTGGTTTTGCTTAGACTTCCTTACAACTAAAACTTTTTTCAGAGGAAACTTCTAATGATCCCAACTGTGAGAGTGATCTTGAGCAAGTCACATCCCTTCTCTGAGCCTCAGTTTCCCGACTTGTAAAAGAAGATTTTGTATTGGATCATCTCTAAAGCTCTTACAATGTATGATTCTAGGATTACTAATTCAGTTTCTGATGAAACTTTTCTAATCTCACCGAGTAGAGCCAACATATAATTAAAGTCTGAGGTTGTTAAAGATTTGAGGAACTAGACTTCAAAGGCACTGCAGGGAAATTTTTTTTAATGGGTTGAATGAAGAACAATATCATAAAGGCAATCCATTTACAAACTTCCTACAAATTTGACTAAATAAACAATGTTTTCATCTTTTAATAGTTAGAACATGATTTAACCAGTAGAGAAGTGGCATAGTCTACGGTGATTCCAAAATTGATTATGGTGAAAATAGAACTCTTAACGTTTTTAGCAAGTTGATACATTTTTCTACGTGTTGTTTGATTAGCTATAACTTATATAATAAAAATTTATTGTATTGCATATTTTATGAAAAGAAAACATATATAAATTACCTTTTTAGGTTTGTAAATTGCCCTATTTTCTTGTATGATTCCTTCTTGTTTTTTCTCTCTGAAACTTCATTATATACCACTATTTTGCAAACAGGGTCAGCTTCTTGTGGAAGTGGAGAGATGGGATCCTCTATGTCAGGGCACTTGTAAGCTCTCTAAGAGCTCAGATGCCTAGAATTCTACCACTCATTCTTTGGGCCTAAATATTTCTCTTTCAAGAGTTCTTTTAAAAAATAAATACCTTGGAGGCTTTTTTTTCTTGGAGAAGATCAGCTTTCCCCATCCTCATCAGGAAGCTTCTTAGTGGAATGCCAACTGAAGGGATAAGCCGATTAGAGAGGGAGGGACAGGAGGGGGATGTTCGGCACCTAGAGAGGGAAAGTATCAAGCAAAATGAAAACTACAGGCTCAAAGAATTTGACATCAAAATGAAAGAGGGATGTTGGATGAGAGGAGAAAGAGAGGAAAGTCAACCAAAGGTCTGGAGGTTGAGAAGACTTGAACATATTTGAAGGCAGAAGAAAAGAGTTTCCCCATCTTGAAGATAAAAGAGACTGAACAGTAATTGTGTTATCATATGCTAAAGGATGCTAGTGGTACTTGGGTCTAGAGTTCACATAGAAGAAACCCCCTCTTCCAAGATTCTCTTTTGGTTGAGGGTCTTCGCTATACCCCTCTTCTATCCTCTTTCCTGTGTGGGGAGACAAGTTGTCATGTAGGAAAACAACCCTGGTCTCTTCAGAAAATGTTGATTGTGTACACAGTAGTTTGTGAATTGCTATAGGGAGAGAAGGGACAAAAAGGTGGTCCCTGCCCTCAGGGAAATTTACAAAACAGATTGGAAATAAGAGATACACACAAGGAAATAAAGAGCCATACATTGCCCTATCCGTGAGAAGCCATGATACGTATAATCAAGGACCAAATGAATGGCCCTACCAGCAAAAGCCTCTGGATCATTATTGCTGATCCACTATCTTATATCATATGTAAAAAACCATTGGATGAGAATTCTGAGTATGTTTATGTGTAGGAAAAAAATGTTATTTCAATAGTTATTTTTGGAAATAAGGGCTATTATTATACATGCGTAGATGCATACACACAAAACACACACACACACACACACACGCCTCTAAGTCAAACCTGATTGCTGAGTACTGTTCCTGGCATACACACAGATCATGACTTTTGTCTGCCAGGATATCATGCAAACACCTCATCTGCATACCATCAGGGACACACCCTGGGGCTTAGCATGTCACGGCTCTCACTCACCCACAAATTTGTGTTCTCTCTGACCACAGTCTCCTCATCAGTCACCTCTTCCACTGCCACACACCCAAAGAACCTGACCTTCAGCCACACCAGAATCCTTCAGGCACTCACCCTCCCATCATCATCAGAACATGCGTAGGCCCACTCGTTCACTCATCCAGCCCGGACCCCATGATGGGTGGTTTCATACACTCCTCCGACCCTGATTTCCATGATCCTGTGAGGTTCTGGCATTCTGATCCTCAACTAGAGATCACTCCCACTGCCACCACATCCTCCTCAGCTTCTGCTCCAGGTTCAGAGCACTTTGCTCAAGGAAGATGCAGAACCCTAGAAAACTCACCCATTACAAATCTGTGAATTCATGCCAGAGAGCAACCTCAACAGGAACACCCAACAGGGCTGCCAGAACATCCTTTCAGTCATGTCCTGTTGGTCCTTTTCTAGAAACCCCACAGAGGTGGATCTGGACCTTCTCTCTCCTTAGTTTCTCAATCCCTCCCATCCTCAAGGCCCCTCCGGCCAGTGTCTCAGTTCCTTCTCTTAGAAAATCACAGTCATCTGGTGCGAGAACACCCCGATTTACTTATCCTCTGCGAATCTCATTCCTCCCTCCCTCTAATCTAAGACTCTCTCTTCCTTTCTTAAACCAGCCCTTCCTCTCTTATGCCAGGTGCCATCATTTCTTGCATACTGGGTGTCTTGCCCCATACTTCCCCCTTTCCTCAAAACATACTCAGACAACAAATGTCCACAAGTCACCTCTCACCAGCCCCACTATACTTTCATGTACTACCCAAACTCTCCTTCCTCACTCTGTAAAACTTCCCAAAACATGGCCTATACATGATAACACCATTTTCTTTCTGTCCATTCTTTCCTAAATTATGCATAGCCCAAATGTTTCTGCGGAATGATTGGCTACAGCGTGGCTCAAATCCTCAGATCCCAGAGAACTAACATCTCACCAAGATTCATGCTCTGCAGCAATAAGAAATGCTTGAACAGCTCTGGAGTGAATGTACTTTACCAGTTGCTCCTTCCTAGTAGCATCCTTCCCCTGGCGGGGCCCAACTGACAAGCCCACATTGTTCTCTCCAGCACCTCAGCCACCACCACGCATGGCAGGTGCGGAAGGTGAAGGCCAACTGTGTTCAGCTCAAGGTCTGTCTCTTTACCACCAGGCTCCAGACCACCACTCCCACTGGCCTTCACCCTCCTACCGCCCATTCTGGGGCGTCTTTCAGCACCAAGCTGCCTTCTGAAACTTAAGGTTTCACTAACCCACTCCTTTCTACTCTGCCCCTTTTCCAGCTCTTCAGCTTAAGTCTCATCACCCCAGGTTCATAGCACCCAACATTCGAACAATACAAATCTGCTTTACTGGGAAGGGGGAGCAAAGCTACAGGTTGAGTACAGTGAACCCGAAATCAGGGTGCACAGTCTGACAGGTGCCAGTGCACTTACAGAAACAAACCAGGACCTTTGAAATCAACTCTCTCATGAAAATTCTGGACTTGTGAATTGCATACATACAATGGAAAGGTTACAGATTTGGATTAATTTGTAGGACAGATAGAAATAAAAACTTTGATACATGGTAGAAACATGACCAAAAGATGGAAACCAGAAGAAATACAGATAATTGCAACAGATAAATCAGATACTTAAGTTATCAGGCAAGGGATTTTAAGCTTTAAATAACTATATTTAATAATTTTTCAGCATTATGTAGTCATGTTCTCCTCACAGCCTCAGGTTCCTCATTTGTAAAATGAGGTTTAATTAGAGGATTTTGGGTTTAGTGTAGAGATTAATCCTTTCCAACTCAGGTCCTAACTCGACTGGTACCCAGTGTTCGCTCAAAAGGCTTAGGACAGGGGAGCAATAAGTCAGTAACTCCTTTTCTTACTCAACTTCTCTCTGCACCTTTGTCCAGTTTTCTCCTCTCTCTCCTGCACCCTATCTCTTCCCATTTCTGGTTTTTTTCTCACTATTTATCTCCTTCCTTTCTCCAACTTCGAGCTTCATTTTCCATCTCAAGAGAGCAATCACATTCTTCCCATCTATTCTGAAGGTTACAGGAGAAATAGGTGGTGGTCCATGAAGTATTTGGTCCTCGAAAGTGGTCTGAGAACTCAAAGAGTTTGCAAATGTCTACGTCTTTGAAAACAGTTCTGGTACCCAAACCGAGGTCCCAATAGAAAAGGATTCAAAATGTCTGTCCACAGATGGGAAGGACTGGGTGGCCTCGGGACAACCCTAGATGCACTGGAGGCCTGACTGAAGCTGTAAAGGCACATAAAATGCTTCAGCGAAGGGCAGGGAAGCAAATTCCCAATAAAAAAGGTATATCAAATACACAAATGTAATTCCTTTTCCCTCTAAATGATAGGAAAGGATTGGGAGGGAAAGGGCACAAACCCACAAATATAAAGACAACAAGATGTAGGCAAACACCACTTTGACAAAGAGATAGCGACAAAACTTTGGAAGATGGAAAACAGAAAAACAATGGAATATAACTGAGCCATCCAGACAGAGCCTAAGCTACAGAACAGAATGTCTGAGCCAGAAGCAAGCAGATTCATGCTGCGGAACTCCAAAATGGCACAGGCACTAGCAACACCAGAAACTTATGTAGACGGGAGTGAGGCATGGGGCCTCCAATGTCCTTCATTCCTGCCTTCAGGAATTATGTCCTCTCTGACTCAATTTCTCCTAAGAGTAAAGCTCCAGCCTTCTGCCAGGGTGGAGGACAGGTAATAACTTGTCTTCCAAGGGAGAGGCTAGTGAGAGGGAAGGATCTGGGGGCAGTCTTGCTTCTCCTCATACAGATCTTCCATCAATCCTCCCAGTTTTTAGCCCTTGCCCATGTAATCTTATTAAAGATACGTGTCTTTCTTTAAAATATTGAAAATAGGTCATAGATCTCATTATCATCTTTGAGGACTTTTAGGAACATGAGGTTCCCAGATTTGTAAATCACATAGATGGAGTCCAATATAGCTTTGATAATTTGTTTCCTCTTTTCTCTTAAGGTTAAATCACAGCTTGAAGCAAAAACAAATCAGACTTATGAAGAATTTAAAGCCGTGGAGTATAAAACTCAAGTGGTTGCTGGAACAAATTACTACATTAAGGTTAGTATTCAACATCCACTTTGGCAATAAAGATACTATATTTCTCACTTTATGTGATGCTCCCTGTCACTCCTACCACATAATTTGTTCCTTCTCCTTGTGCTAAACCAAGATGCCTACCTAGCATGATACTTCCCAAATGGTAGACTCTCAAATTTGGCAGATGCTGGTATATTTGTATTGTCTTTTTCTTGTGAATTTAGAAAGCTTTCTTATATTGATTCTTAACTTAATTTCCAGAAATTGTATAGAAAAAGATTTCACAACAGTTCAGAGTATGTTTAGCTCGTGGCCATGGCTGCTTCACCTGTGAAGTCGGAGCCTGAAGGCGTGGGGCTGGACCAGATGCTATCATGAAGCCTTTTTCCACCTCAAAATTTTGCGATTCTATGTATCTAAATTAAATGGATGTAAGGAATGACTTGAATCATTAGCTGGGAGAATAATATAAGCCACTTTTGCCCATTAGATAACCATTTTGATTAATATAATTTACATAATCATTTTTGCATCTCAAATAGGTAGAGTCAGCTTGTGCCCCTGTGGGTATTGTCTAAAGAAGTGAAGCATTTAAAATATTTTTTAAATTAATTTTATAACTATATTAAAAAAATTAAGTGATGCACTGATCCAGTTCTAATTGAAGAAAATACTTGTGAAGTTATTGAGAGGGAACCAATTCAACAAGTCAATCGTGGATATTTGGGAGCCATTTTCATTATTTTGTATTGAGAAGATGATAATTCTAATTTAATAAATAAACAACAGATATTCAAATGTATTTACTTAATCTTTACTAAACCATTTGACCAGGGCACAGTCTGCCTTATTTCTCCTTAACAAACAATTAACTACTTAAGATATAAAAAATTTTTTAAAAGTTTGCAGCAAAAAATAAGTGGTGTTAACCAGCTCAGCATGAGAAAATTACAATACTGGGTTATGTAAATTGATCAGCCCAGTCCTACCAAATTTGAGCTCCTAGTACATACCAGGCCCTGGAAGGCCCACATGTATCTGCTTTCTTCACAGCTGGAAAAGAATGTTTTCCAGTTAAAAATGATTTTGTTCAATTTTATTTTATTTATTTTATTTATTTATTTATTTATTTTTATTACTATTTTTTTGTGTGTGTGTGTGAGGAAGAGCAGCCTTGAGCTAACATCTGCCAGTCCTCCTCTTTTTGCTGAGGAAGACTGGCCCTGGGCTAACATCCGTGCCCATCTTCCTCCACTTTATATGGGACGCCACCACAGCATGTCTCGTCAAGCGGTGCGTCCGTGCGAGCCCGGGATCCGAACCGGCGAACCCCAGGCCACCGCAGCGGAGCGCGCGCACCCAACCACTTGTGCCGCCGGGTCAGCCCCTGATTTTGTTCAAAGATAAGAAACTTCCACCAAAATTGGAATTATTAATGTAATGACTTATGATTAATCCAAGATTAATAGATTTCACATATTAATCAGTTCATGTATTTCTTAAAAAGCTCACAGAAAACTATCTTGAAAATTTCTTCCCTTAAGACCACCCGTTCAGTCTTAAATACAGTCTCTTCTCCCCTCTCTCCTCTGTCTCTGTCTCTGTCTCTGTCTCTGTCTCTGTCTCTCGCTCTCCCCTTCCTTCTGCTATCAGATTTCCCCTACTGGATTACAGCTACTGACCCCGGTTCTCAATACTTTCTGGCAATCTAGCTGTTGATCTCTTTGCTCTGAGCCACTCTCTAGATTTAAGGTCTTGCTGGTGATGTGACTTTCTGTTTTTTCTCAAATATCTATCAAAAGGCAGGTGGTAGAATGGAAGGATTGCAGAATTTGATGTCAGACAGTCCTGGGTTTGAACCCTTGTTCGACTTGTTCTACTAGTCAAAACCTCTGTGATCGAAGCTCCTCATCTTCTCTGAGCCTTAATTCCCTTGTCTACACAAGGTGAAGAATAATAACCTACTTAGCAGGGTGTTGTGTGGAATAAACGAACTAGAAATTTACTGAGCACTTCCAATGTGCCAGGCACTGTTCTAAGAGCTGGGCCTGTATTATCTCATTTAATTCCCCCAATAAATCTATGAGATAAGTATGATCATTTCCCTGTGTTACTGATGAGAAAATTGAGCCCCGGGGAGGTGAGGTAACTAACAAAGTTTACACAGCTATAAGAGCAGAGCCAGGATTTGAACCCAGGTAGTCTGATGCTTAACTATTGGCTGCGCTGTCTCTAAAAATGTATGCAAAGGCTGATACTCTATTCCAGGCACAGAATAAATGCTTTTAAAATGTTACATCATAGAGTGAAAAGAACATAGATGTTGGAGTCTGGATTTGAATCTTGGCTCTGTCGCTTGTCAGCTGAGAGATTTATGAAAAATTACTTAATCTCTCTTAATCTGCTTTTGCATCTGTAAAATTCTCATTGTTCCACCTTTCTTTATCTCTGTAATAAGAAGTAAATATAATCACGTATATAAAATATTCATCATAGTGTCTGACTCATAGTAAACATTTAATAAATGGTATTTGTTAAAATTAGGTTAAGAAGGAACATCAGAGTACAATAAATATTATTCTGAGACAAAACTTTTATTGTCTCAACCAAGATCAAAAGTGGAAATTCTTACCATGATTTTCTAGGTTCTGGATTCATGCCCAGACTAGCATTTTAGTCTTCATACCAATGACTTTCCAGCAAGATCCCCTTACTTTAGAAGGGAGACCAGCCTGTCCGCCTCCTGGCCCCACTGGCTCAGTCATGCCAGTGGGCATTTATAAAGTAGGTTCTAACAGAGATGTGGGAACCACACATCCCAGATTTTCTAGGACAATTCTGATTTTCTACTTCCTTCTCAAACAATGTGGCAAATAAAGTGTCCCAATTTGGGAGTCAGAAACAGAATTACCAAGAAGTCTGCCACTTGTTTTCTTGCTCTGTGCATTTTTGAAAACGAAATGCAACTCTGGACTTTCATTTGTGCCCAGATTATAGTAAAATATAAAATAAAATAAATGTAGGACCTATGCCTCTTGCCATGCCTTTCACTTGCCCTTTCTCTCATAAAATAAGGTGGTAGGTTTATAAAAACTGAGGGTCTAGGAATGTGGTCTAGGATTGCTGTTCCAAAAAAGGTTATTGCAGTGAAGTCTCTGTAGGTCTGTAGATCTTTCAATTGACATAGATCCATGTGAATGAATCTCCTTTTTCTTTTTTACCTTTCAGGTTCAAGTAGGTGATAATAATTATATTCATCTGAAAATATTCAAAAGTCTTCCTCACCAAGGTGGGTCTTTGACACTTACTGGTTACCTGATCAACAAGAGCAAAGACGATGAGCTGAAGGGCTTTTAGCGGCATGTTCCAAAAGTGGTCTGATTCCTTCCACTGGCTACCGATTAATGATCCCTGCTAATAAATGTAATTATCAATAAAGAATTGCTTTTAAAATAAGTTGATTTTTTCAACTATTTCTCATCTATTGTATGAAATAGTAATTACTTTTCCTTTCTCAAAATCATTGTTATTGCTTTAGAGTACAAATTCCATACAAACTGACAATTGTCGATTGGAAATCTTATAAAATTAGTTGGGCCTAATGCAACTGGTGAAAGAATAATGCCGTCACCACCACCACCACCACTCCCACCATAGGCAGGCTAGATCATGGGCCATCAGTGCCCCGTGGTTGCTAAGAATCTAACATTCCATCTCCACCCTCAAATTTTAAAATTAAATCAGGTATTTTACAAAATATATTAATATTTTGAAACAATCTCAAACACACAGATAAGTTGCAAGAAAAACTCTTTCCCGGGACATTTGAGAGTAAGTTACCTACAGCGATGCCCCATCACCAACAAATACTTCAGTGTGCATTTCCTACAACCAAGTATATTCTCCTAATAACTGAAAAACAGCCATCAAACTCAGGAATTTAACACTGATACATTTGCTGGCATCTAATCCCAAGGCAACATTCAAATTTCCCCAGTCATCTCCAAAATGTTCTTTATTGTAAAAAGATCCAGTCCAAAATCATATGTTCCATTTAATTGTCATTTTTCTCTTTTTTAACACCTTTATTGAGATATATTTTACATACCACATAATTCACCCAATTAAATTATACAATTCAGTGGTTTTTAGTAAATTCAAAAATGTGTGCAACCATCACCACAGCAAATTTGAGAACATTTCCATCACCTCAAAAAAGAAACTCCATACCCTTTAGCTATTGTTCCCCATTCTCTTCCACACCTCCACCCCTAAGCAACCGTTAATTTACTTACTTTCTGTCTTGATAGATTTGCCTATTCTAGACATTTCATACATATGGAATCACATAATATGTAGTCTTTTGTAACAGACTTCTTTCACTTAGCATAATATTTTCAAGGTTCATCCACATTGTTGCATGTACCAAAATTTTGTTCGTTTTATGGCCCAATAATATTCCATTGTATGGATATACTACATTTTGTTTATCCATTCATCAGTTGATGACCATTTGAGTTACTTTCACCTTTTGACTACTAGGAACAATGTTGCTATAAACATTTGTGGACAAGTTTTTGGATATACATATTTTTTTCATTTCTCTTGAGTGTACACCTAAGAGTGAAATTGCTGGTTCATATGGGAACTTTATGTTTAATTGTTCAAGGAACTTACAGACTGTTTTCCAAAGCAGCTGCCTCATTTTACATTCCCATCAGCAGTGTATAAGGGTTTAGACTTCTCTACATCCTCATCAACACTTGTAATTATCTGACTTTTTGAGTCTAGCCATCCTAGTAGGTGTGAAGTGGTATCTTATTATGGTTTTGATTTGCATTTCCCTGATGAATAATGATGTAAGGCATCTTTTCATGGGCTCATTATCTATTTGCCTGTCTTCCTTGGAGAAATGTCGATTCAGATCCTTTGCCCAATTTTTTTTTGCATGAGGAAGAGTGGCCCTGAGCTAACGTCTGTGCCAATCTTCCTATATTTTGTATGTGGGACTCCGCCAGAGCATGGCTTGATGAGAGGTGTGTAGGTCCACACCCGGGATCCAAACCCACGAATCCTGGGCTGCCGAAACGGAGCACACGTGTTTAACCACTACGCCACCCAGCCGGCCCCTCCTTTGCCCATTTTTTTAGTTGGGCTATTTATCTTTTTACTATTGAGTTGTAAGAGTTCTTTGCATACTCTGGATACAAGTCCTCTATCAGATATATGATTTGCAAATATTTTCTTTCATTTTGTGTTTGTCTTTTCACTTCTTCATGGTGTCCCTAAAAGCACAAAAGTTTTTTACTTTAATGAAATCCAAATTATCTATTTTTTCTTTTAGTGCTCATGCATTTGGTCCTCAGATCTAATGATCCTTTGCCAAATCCAAGCTCATGGTGATGCACTTCTGTTTTCTTCTAAGAGTTGTGCAGTTTTAGCTTTTACATTTAGGTCTTTGATCCCTTTTGAGTCAATTTTTATAAATAGTATGAGATAAGTATCCAACTTCATTCTTTGGCATGTGCCTATCTAGTTGTCCCAGCACCATTTGTTGAAAAGTCTATTCTTTTCCACATTGAATGATCTTGGCACCCTTCTTGAAAATCAGGCACATGAGTTCATTTTGGGACTCTTAATTCTATTTCATCAACCTACATGTCTATCCTTATGCCAGTACCACACTTTCATGATTACTGTTGCTTTGTAGTAATTTTTGAAATCAACAAGTGTGAGTCCTCCAACTTCGTTCTTCTTTTCCAGAATGTTTTGGTTCTTCTGGATTCTTTGAAATTCCATATGAATTTAAGAATCAGCTTATAAATTTTTACAAAGAAGTCAGCTAGGATTCTGATAGGGATTGTGTGAATCTATAGATCAATTTGGGGAGTAGTGTCATCTTAACAATATTAAACCTTGTACCGCAGGAACATGGGATGCTTTCTCAACTATTTACATCTTCTGTAATTTCTTTCAACAATGTTTTATAGCTTTCAGAGTATAAGTTTTGCACTTCTTTTGTTAAATTTATTCCTAAGTATTTTATTCTTATGGATGCTCTTGTAAATGGAATTGTTTTCAGTGTTTTGTTTGTTTGTTTGTTTGTTTTTGGTGAGGAAGATTGGCCCTGAGCTAACATCTGTGCCAATCCTCTATTTTGTATGTGGGTCACTGCCACAGCATGGCTTGATGAGTGGTGTAGGTCTGTGCCCAGGATCTGAATCTGTGAACGCCAGGCCACCAAAGTGGAGCATGCCAAACTTAATCACTATGCCGCTGGATGGGCCCCTAGAATTCTTTTCTTAATTTCATTTTGGCTTGTTAACTTTGTGTGTATAGAAACACAATTTATTTTTGTATATTGGTCTTGTATTCTTCAACCTTCTGGACTTGTATTGGTAGATTCCTTAGGATTTTTATATCCTACAAGATCATGTCATTTGCAAAGAGAGATAGTTTTACTTTTTCCTTTCCAATCTGGATACCTTTTTTTTTTTTAATTTTATTTATTTATTTATTTCCCCAAAGCCCCAGTAGATAGTCATATGTCATAGTTGCAACATCCTTCGCTGCACGTGGGATGTGGCCTCAGCACGGCCAGAGAAGCAACACGCCCGGGATCTGAACCCCGGCTGCCAGCAGCAGAGTGAGCGCACTTAACCGCTAAGCCACGGGGCCGGCCCTGGATACCTTTTATTTCTTTTCTTGCTTAATTGCATTGGCTAGAACCTCCAGTACAAAATTGAATAGAAGTGGTGAGAGTGGATATCCTTGTCTTGCTCCTGACCTCAGGGGGAAGCATTCAGTCTTTCACCGTTTAGTATGATGTTAGCTGTGGTATTTTGTAGATGGCCTTTATCAAGTTGAGGAAATTCTTTTCTAGTTTGTTGAGCATTTTTTATCATGAAAGGACATTGGATTTTGCCAAATGCTTTCTTTCTGTATCTACTGAGATGACTATATGGTTTTGTTTTTTGTCCTATCGATACATTATATTAATTGATTTTTGGATGTTAAAGCAACCTTGCATTCCTAGAATGAATCCCATGTGGTCATGGCATGTAATTCTTTTTTATGTGCTAGATTTGGGTTGCTAGTACTTTGTTGAGGATTTTTCATCTATATTCATAAAAGATATTGGTCTGTGGTTTTCTTGTGATGTCTTTGTCTGGTTTTGGTATCCAGTTAATACTGGTCTCATAGAATGAGCTGGGAACTGTTCCTCTGTCTTCTATTTTTTGGAAGAGTTTGTGTAGAATTGGTATTAATTCTTCTTTAAATGTTTGGTAGAATTCAGCAGTGAAGTCATCTGGGCCTGGGCTTTTCCTTGGGGGAAGTTTTTGATTATTAATTTATTCACTTGTTACAGTTCTATTTAGATTGACTATTTCTTCTTGAGTTTGTTTTAGTAGTGTGTCTTTCTAGGAATTTGTCCCTTTCATCTATATTATCTAATTTATTGGCATACAGTTGTTCATAGTAATCCTTCCTTGGCCCTACCTAATGGATTTTGGACTGAATTATTTAGGAAGGAGAGGGGAAGAAAAAGTGGAAGAGAAGGAGGGAGAAAAGAGGGAAAGGGGGAGGGGGAAAGAGAAGAGGAAACTTGTTTTAAAGATGCTCTAAGTAACATCTTCCTCTGTGTTCTGCACTCTGCTCACCCCTCTACTAGTGCCACTTGGCCAATCCCCTGCCTCCAAATAATAATAATAGTATATATGAAGTGCTTATTATATGCCAGATAATGGTGTAAAGACTTTACACATATAACTTATTTAATTCCCATAACAACCTCATGAGGTAAATATTATTATCCCCTCTTTGCAAAAGAGTGAGTGTAGAGAAATTAAGTTACTTGCCCAAGGCCTCATGTAGTTAGTAAAGTGAGGATAGGATCCCAGGCTGTTAGCCTCCAGGACCAATGCTCTTAACTCCTACACTCTACTAACACAAGCTCAGAATTAATTTGCTCAGCTATTCTGACCCCTGAAAGAGGTAATGAGAGCCTGAAATAGTGATTTTTTTTATAACCACTGACAACTCTAAATACTTCATAATAAAAAAACTGTCCCATTCATCTGCCTTCAGTGTCTAGCACATAGACGTTTAGTTCAATCAGTGACCTAAAAGATCTCCACTGGCTGGCTAGTATTAATGCCATAGGGCTTTTAGGTAACAGGAACTACCAGAGACAATCCCATTGGCCTAATAAGAATCCTTTTCTGAGCAATGCAAATATGGACACAAACATCTAGAGCTGTATACAAAGAGCAGCTGGTCAAAGATATACAAAACTTCATAATCAGATTGATTAGATTTACTTCTACTTCATCCTGATTTTGGTATAGAAAGTCTGAAATACATCACACGTTTGAGAATTTCATAAGGGACAAACAGAACCTATGCAAAAACAATTACAGCACTTCACTGTCAGAAATAAAAGACTTCAATAAATGGATAAACATATCCTATTGC